AACTTGTGGTCGTGCCCAAACTCCTTAAAAGCTTGAACCCCCTCTTTCACCGAAGTCGGTTCACTCTTCCATTTCCCGGGGCCCCAAAAGGCCAGGCCCCGCGTTCCTGCCGGGCCGTGGGGGGGAGGAGGCGTGGGCCTGAGAAGGGAAAACGGCCCATCGCGCCTGTCCGTGGGAGAGAGGCTTGAAGACGCCGGGGCCGAGGGCCTGGCCTCTGTCCGGCCCCCTCGTCCCGGCCCAGGTGGAAAGGCCGGCGCCGCCCGCGCACGGACGGACAAACGGCCCCGCCGCCCCGCCCCACCGCGCCGAGCCTGATGCAGCGCCGCCGGGCCAGAGAGGGCGCTGTCTTGGCCGCTACCTTCGCTCTCCGCGCCGGGCCAGACCAGCCAGGGGCCTGCGTGGAGGCCGGGCGTGCCAGGCTGGCCTGGGGACGCTTCTGGGGGTACGGGGCCCCAAACCCACACTCTCTCTCCCAGGTCTCAAACGGCTCGCCGTTTCCCTCCTTTTGTCGCCGTCTCCGGACACCCAGCGTCCGCCCTCCAGGCCGCGGTACGGCGAGCGCCGAGGGCCAATTCTCGCGCCGCGAGCCCTCCGCCTCCCAGCGCTCCTCAGCGCGGCCAAGCAGCGGGAGGCTACAGGGCGGCCGCCGGCTTCGGCCTGCCGGGCTGGGCACCGGTGGGTACCGGGTGGGGAATGGCCGGGTGGAGCGGACGCAAGGAGCCTACCTCTGTCGCTGCGCGGAGCAGCCGCGCCGCAGAGGCCTCCTCCCCACGCTGGGGACCCGCCGCACCGGCCCGGGCCTTCGCGCGCGCCTCCCGGGGCCGTTCCGCCGCCCTCTCGCGCCGGCCCGCGCTTACCCTCAGCTCGGCGGCGGGCCTCCTGCAGACCCAGCCCGACACCCCCAGCGAAGCCCTCGCCGCCGCAGCCACAGCCGCCGTGCAGTCCCGCCCCCGCTTAAAGCGGCCGCGCCCGCCGCGGGAGAAATAGGTCCGGGCGCGCCGCCCCCAAGTGGGTGCGGCCTGGGCGAGCGGCGGGAGCGGGGAGGGGCGTTGCGCCCGGTCGGTCCCGCTCGGCCCTTTAAACCTCCTCCTGGTGGGCGGAGCCGTCCGCATAGCTGGAGAGGCCGCAGGTGCCGGCCGTCTTGGGGTTCCTTCTGCCCTAAATAGGCGCGCAGGAGCCAGGTCTGGGAAGGGTAGGGAAGGGACACGGGGGCTGCGGCAGGGCGGTGGGCACCCGAGGGGCTCCCTTAGCAGGCGGCGGTCGGGCCCAGGCAGAGTCCATCCCTGAACTGAATGTGGCAGTCCGGGCGGGTTTCCTCCCTCCTCCCTTCCTGGGCTCGTTTTTTAACCAGTCGAAAAGGGGAGGAGGCAAGCAGGCTGGAGACAGAGGAGACCCTGTATGCAAAGGAAAGCCCTGGTGTTCTGCTCCGAGGTGGCCGGCCTGATCATTTGTTCTGCAGCTGCATCACCGAGGCGGGACCGCAGACGATCTCTGTCAGCTCCTACCTGGAGGGCAGATGTCTCTGGCCAGGACAGACCAGTGATGAGAAGAAAGGGGAGTGGGGCAGAAGGCCCTGATGCCTACGTGAGATGGCGTGGGCAGGACCAAGACGCCTTAGAAGGGAAAAGTACTGTTGAGCCTTACCTATGACTCCATCTAGAAGAGCGGCTCCTGGTAACCCATGGTTACCATGTTAGATGGACAGAGCATTAAAGTGATGGCCTATCTCCACCATCTCCATTACCTGATTCCACCACCTACCCTTTCCCAACAATATCTTACCCTCCCCCACATCATCACTAAGTTACCAAAGTCTTTGTGTTCCCTTCACAGAAAGATACATTTCACACTTTGCAATAAATGCAGTTTGCAACAGCTGCAATGTATCTCGGAATAAAGGCGCACTATTCAGAAGCATGCTCCTTACTTGTTTAAAAATGTTGCCACTCAAGAACAACCTTCTGTTGAACTGAGATTTTACATCAATATATTTCGTGTCACTTGTTTCTTCCCTGGGAGAAATGAAATGGGTCAGAATAACTTCCCCGCCCAAGGAAAAAGTACTTGCAAGCAGAATCCTCTCTGCTCCTTAGCACCCCCCCCCCAAAGTAATAGCTCCAAAGCTGGGGAAGGTTTAATAATCTGAGAGCTGAAATCAGTGTACAGTTGTTTCATATTGTTCGGTGGAAAGGGGGTGGAGAAAAAAGCAGAAAGTAGATAAATCTTTTGATAAGTTTCAGATTAATTGCACATGCTAAAGACCTACAGTTAAGCCTAGCTCTAATGTTGGCTAAATTCCTGCACTTCCCATGGCCCTAGCTTCTCCTAACAAAGTACCCAAAATGTTGTTTGATTTTTGTCTGCTTTCTTGTCAGAGACAGTGTCAACTCTATCCCTATCAGGTAAATTAGATCACACCACTCCTCTGCTTAAAACCCTCCAAAGACTTTTCAGCTCATCCTCATTGCCTGGCCTTATGTACCTCCCAACCTCACTCTTCATGGTTCTAGCTGCTGTGGCCTTGCTGTGCCTCAGGCCAACCTAGGACCTCTGGAATGTTCTTTCCTCAGAGGCACACAGCTGACTCCTTGTCATCCTTGATGAGCTCAAATATCACCTCCTCAGAGACAACTTTCTTAAGGCCCAGTGTAAGAAAACCACTGCTCCTACCACCACCCCCATTCACTATCTCATAATACTATAATACTGTAATAATTTCACCAGGGGAAATACTCAAAATGCTGTATTTCCCCTCAATAACCTCGTAATCTGAACATCAGTTTTAGGGTGGCCTTTGCAGTGGCTTCTGTGACATAGTACTACTACATTTAGTAGTCACAAGACTATCTGTGACTACTATAAAATAATTATTCAATGCAATCAAGTTACACATAAAAAATGTAATCTTATTATTTTCTTTTCTGCATTTAGTTCGTTTTTAATCATTTTTTTAGAGATTTTATTTGAGAGAGAGCTCGTGCATGCACACAAGTTGGGGGGAGGGTCAGAGGAAGAAGCAGACACCTGCGCTGGGCAGGGAGCCCCAACTCAGATCTGAGATCATGGCCTGAGCCAAAGGCAGATGTTTAACCCACTGAGCCACCTAGGTGCCCCTAAAAAAAATTTTTTTAAGATTTTATTTTTAAGTGATTTCTACGCCCAACATGGGGCTCAAACTTAACAGCCCTGAGGCCGAGTCACATGCTCCACTCACTGAGCTAGCCAGTGCCCCTGCATTTAGTTTGTTTTAAAAGCCACTAATAACCAGACCTTTGAATAATGTTAAACAGTGGGGCACCAGGGTGGCTCAGTGAGTTCAATCCTCTGCCTTCAGCTCAGGTCATGATCCCAGGGTCCTGGGATGGAGCCCCACATCAGGTTCTCTGCTCCGCAGGGAGCCTGCTTTCTCCTCTCTCTCTGCCTGCCTCTCTGCCTACTTGTGATCTCTGTCAAATAAATAAATATTTTAAAAAATTAAAAAAAATGTTAAATAGTTAAATACTTGAAACTCGGTTTATTAACCTTAACATTTTCCCCCCCACCACAATTTTCTCCCCAGTTCCTGATGGACTAGCGACACTCTCCCAGGTCTGTAAGCAATTCCAATGACGACGGCAAATACTGATCATGTGTACTGTCCCAAGCACTGTTGTATGTGTTAACTCATTTGATCCTTGCTACAGTCTCATAGAGTAGGAACTATTTCCATTTTAAAGGAAAGGAAAATGAGGGACTCAGAGGAAAGTGATTTTCCCAAGGACACGTAACTCTCAGAAGGAATCCAAAGTCTCCTGCTTCCTAGGCCTGGTATTGTCCCCACGATGTTGATTGCTGCTACTGAGGGGGGGGTGATGACGCCTGTCTAGCACTTTCAACTCTCCTGGGGAGGCTCACTCAGATCTGTTCCCCCTCCCTTAGGGTGCGATGGCAGCCATCGCACCCTAAGGGAGGGGGAACAGATCTGAGTGAGTGTGGCCAGTGAGCCCATCCTCCGTGAAGGCCACCGCTGTCCCAGAGACAGAGGCCATACCCGCAGGTGTCTTCACTCCCATGCTGCGATTCAAGTCATGGTCCATCCAAGCCCACCAGGCAAGAGGGGTTCATCCAACCTCCCTCCCTTACCCAAGTACAGGCTTAAGCAAAGGCAGATGTGCGACAAGGATCCAAGCCGCCAGCTTCCAGTCTTGGAAGACAAGACAGGACAGCCACCTTCTAGAAGGAAAGACCTGCTTCACTCTATTATGACGGGTGGAAGCGCCAGCACAGGCCAAAGAGGGGCCTGGTCACCCCTCACTGCGGCTGTCTGAGTCTCACAAGGCCCTCAGTGACACCCTAGCCGCAGCTGTGGGCACGAGCAGTTTGACAGCAGGGACAGAGGGTAAACTGAGGAATGACCGGAGACTCGGCGGAGGTGCTTGACTCCCTCCCTCAGGAGGGATATGAGGTGCTTGCAGTCCCTCTGCCCAGCGCCTCGCACGCAATGAGGGCTTCACGGGAATGAGTCGCTCTCCAAATCGTGTGCGTCAAGAGGAGATATGGCAACTGGAGAAGAACCCAAAGGGGCCTGCGCACGGCTTTGCAGCGGGGCGCGCGCCTTTGGGGACGCTGAGTCAGAGACGGCGGGCGCGGACACGGGGAGGCGGCGCAGACAGGAGGAGCGCAGACCCGGGGAGGGGAGGATGGTGGGGAGACGAGGGATAAAGGGAGGAGAGAAGAGAGGAGGGGAGGGGGCGCGGGAGGCGGCGCGCACTCGGGAAGGCGGGGGTTCGTGGGGAAAGGAGGGGTATGGCGAGGGGAGGGAGGGACGCGGGGAGGGGGCGCGGCGCGGCGCGGCTGACGCGGGCCGGGGTCGGCGCGGCGGGCTGTGGGCGGCGGCGGCGCGCAGAGACACAGCGTCGCGAGGCGAGGACGAGCGAGCGCCGCTCCCGCACCTCCCCGCATAGCCCGCGCCGCGCGCCCGGAGGAGCGGCCGCAGCCTCCGAGTCAGCCGCGTCCCCTCCGCGCTCCTGCCGCTCCCGGCGCAGCCATGGCCCCGGCCTTCTGGCCGATCCTCAGCCGCGTCCTTTGGCTCGCCTGCCTCCTGCCCTTGGCCCCGGCTAGGGTGGCCGCAGGTAAGGCGCTGCGCGGGCCGGCCGTCCGCCCCACTGCAGCCGCAGCGCGCCCGGGGCCTCGGGGCGGTCCAGCCATGCGCCCTGAGCGCACCTCCCTCCTCCGGGGCAGCCTCTGCAGCGCGCAGCGGAGGGGAGCGTGGCCAGCCTGCCCCTCGAAGCCCTCTCTTCTCTCCCTCCATCCTTCTCCCTAGAAGTCGGCCCCGCCCTCGAGGGGTCTCCCGCGCTCCTCGGTTCCTGCCGCCACCTCCAGATCGGCCCTGTCCTGGGAACCGCGCGCGGTGGCCAGTGCACCCATGCGGGTGCCCGGGGGGCCTCGCAGCCGCTGGGAGGTGGGGCTGGGAGGACGATGCGGGGAGACCGGGAATGTGCGGGACCCGTCATCACGCCACAGCCCCCCAGAGAGCGTGGACAGGTCGTCCGCTGAGCAGCGTCTTTGCCTTTAAATGTCGTCTTATCTGGAGAGGTTTTCCTCCCTGTGTTGGCTTCAGGGAGGCTGCCATTTCGTCTTTGGAATGGTTTCCAAAATGGACCCCGAGCTGACAGGTTCTTCTGGGTGCTCCCCCCGCCCCCCCACCCTGCTCCGCCGGGCCGTGCTTCTATGCTCTCTACTTCCCCACCGCGGAAAGGCCAGCACCAACCTTTCTGCCACATTTTGGCGACAACAAAAGGATCCGGATTGGAGAGTAGTTGGGGGAGAGGTGGGATGTGGGCAGCTCTGGTGATATGCGTGTGTTAAATTGACAACATTTTCCATTATGTCCCTTCCCCCGCCCCCCCCCCCAAGAATGGTAGAAAGAGGAAGCGATCTAATGCCAAATCGTGTAAGACAATGGAAAAGGTAAAAATAAAAACCTGCATTTTAGGGATGAATTAGGAGAATTTTGTGGGAACTGTGCTTGGTCAGGATTACCTGCTTCCCTCCTGGAATTTTCATGTAGAGATGGTGGTCTCTTGTCCATTGGCTTTACATGTATCTGGAAATAAATGATCACCATGGCGTGAATTGCAAACCAGAAAAAAAAAAAGTACATTAATTCTTTGGAAGTCATGTGTGGTTCCCAGCCCGGCCTATTGATGATATGATCGAAATAAGCTGGGAATGAGGCTGGGGAGCATACCTTCTCCCTCACACACGGGTTCAAATCAGAGACTTGGAAGCCCTTTCCATTCTTCCTGGGGTCTGGGTCAGCCTGCACTGGACACTTCCCACACTGGAAGTCAAAGTCAGAGTCCAAGGACTGGACCATTCATGAATTCCAGGTTATGTTGTTCAGACTTCCAAGGTCCCTTGGGAGGTGTTTGGGGCTGTGCACACGTGCAGTGTGAAAGAGCCGATGCGGCCATTTTCTGGAATGTTCAGGGTCCCACATGCGTGGGAAGGTGTGCTCCAAAGGGAAGCCCACGGCACCTGTTAGTGAGTGAGTGTGGCTTCTGTGGGTCAGGCTTCGTGACAGTTGCCACTTCGCTTTTTGCTTTGGCCCTTTCAGCTCTGGGTCACTCAGTGCACCCATGGAGCCCCCTATGCCCCTCCCTTAGCTGTTGCTCTATACTCCAAGGCCATGTCACCTGGGCTCCCAAACCTGGAAAGATAGGTTTGGATGGGTAGGGCAACAGGATCTGGGCTTGGTTCCTTTAGCCACAAGTGGCAAAGCCTTCATGGTCCGTTTCAGCTTAGATGCCGTGGACACTTCTTAGAGCCCCAAGGAAGAGAGGAGTGGCATTAACCAGGGGCTGTGAAACATATGCTTGAAAAATAAAAAATAAAAGCTTGAAAAAAAGTGCCCTCGGAGCCTCCCAGTGTGTGGACAGGTGTGGGGGCTCCTAGGAGCTGGGCCAGCCTCTGCAGCAAAGGAACTCTAGCCACAGCCCCTCCCCCCCGCCCCCCAACCCACCCCTCCTCCCAGCCAGTCCATCCCCCTGGCAACGGACCTGCGTAGCGCTGACACGCGCCTGTCTCCAGTCCACTGCAGATGCTGGATGGCCATTAGCATGCAGCCGAATGTCCCTGCCACCTGCCAGCCTCGCTCTGGCCCACGCTCCTCGCCTGGGGGGACGGGAGGGAGCCACAGGGAGATGGGAGGGGACGGCCCCTCTTTCTGGGAAGCCTGGCCAAGTGCCGCCTCACAGCCAAAGGGAGGGAGAAGAGAACTCAGCCCAGGGGAGGGGGGTGGGTACAGATTTGCTTGGTGACTCCAGGCTGTCACATGGGGCCCTCAGGGGACTCAATGTCCCTCAGTGTAAAATACGCACCGTATTTTGTTGCAGAAATCTCTGCCATAGCATCTGGAATTCTCTCTTGGGGATTAAGACACTGCAGGTCCCTTTGTCAGTGCCAGTCCAGACGACTTCACAATCTCTGGGGCAGGGGATTCAGAACAGGGAATATGTGACAAAGGGAAAGGCTAGAGCAGGAGTCCCCAGTAGGAACAGACAACACTGCCTAAGCGTGAAGGGGACGCAGCTTTGCTGTTCCAGCTTCGTTGAGTCTACCAAGTCTCTAGTGAGCTCCCTGAGGACAAGAGGCATTTCCTACACTTCTGGGTTCCCCCACCACTTGTGGGGTGGGGGACAAGGAAGGGGCTCAGTCAGTACCACCTGACTGAACAGTCTCCTGGGACAGTGCTAGGTGGGCTGGTCCCTCTGCCACACTCTTCCCTCCAGGAGCCTTGGGCAACAGCAGTATTAAACACGTACTATGTGTCAAGCACTTTGCTGGGCGCATGGGGAAATGACAATGACCCCTGCCCTCGAGGAGCTTGCAGTTCAACAAGGGAGACAAAGAAACCTTCATGCCCATGTGAGGTTGCGACCACTGTGTGCCCAGGCTGCTTGGAGAGCACTGAGAGGGAAAGGGGTTCAGGGAAGCTTTCCTGGAAGAGGTTATATCCGCCGACATGTAGGTAGAGAGGGGCAGTGGGGACAGGGTGTACAAAGGCCCTGAGGTTAGGAAGGACAGAACAGGTTGGGAGAGCTGCAAGAGTTAAAGTGGCCAGCCCCAGCATGGATGTGCCAGAGTGTGAGTTCGGACTCCACACTGAGGCCGGTCCATGAACACATTAGGTGTGGAGGAAGCTCCTTGCTGGTGGGGGTTCGGGGGTGGATGGTGCTGAGAGAAGGGAGGATAGGAGGCCGAGTGCCAGGGCCAAGGATGAAGCAGTAACTATGGCTTGAATGCTGGCTAGTCATGATGGAGAGGAAGCAAACGTGCTCAGATGGGAGGAGTAGTGGCAAAGGACTCGGGATTGACTGATTCCTGGGACAGCTGTTCCCTTGGCCCCAATGGAGAGCAAGGGCTGAAAATGGTAGGTGTGGGGAGGGGAGAGCCCTAGACCAGCACTGTCCAGCAGAACATGGGGTGATGAAGGAAAAAGTCTACATCTGCCCTGAAGGGTAGTTACTAACCCCATTTGGCTCTGAAGCACTTGAAATTGTGGCTAGTGCAATTGAAGAATTGAATTTCCAGTGTTGGTTCAATTTAAGTAATTAACTTTGATTAATTTAAGTGTAATTACATGTGGTTAGCAGCTCCTGTTTTGCTCAGTGCAGATCGGGAGCCCAGAAAGTAGGTCTAGGTTACTTGGTTCCGCCAGCGTTTAGGAGGCATCCAAAACCAGGAGAGCAGATGCGAGTGGCCAGGAAGGTGGGTGGGAGTGAGGGAAATGAGCGGAGAGGGGCTTGGGGCCCCTCCAGCCTTCCATCTATGTCTGCTCTTCTGGTGAGGTATATGTTCGTACAGGCTGGACACTCTCGAACCTGTCGCCCTTCAGAAACCTCACCTGAAGAGGAAGTTTACAAATTATAACCAAATCGTCACCAAGACTTGCAAGAGTGCGACTGGCAAGAGTGAGGGGTTCTGGGAATCAAGATCTACCTGTTTGGGGTGCCTGGCTGGCTCAGTCAGTACAGCATACGACTTTTGATCTCAGGGTAGTGAGTTCGAACCCGTGTTGGATGTAGAGATGGCTGAAAAACAAAATCTTTAAAAAAATGAGAGAGAAAAAAAGATATTCCTGCTCTAGGGATTATCATACCCAGAGTGAAATTCACATTAGTGTGACTGTGGACGTGCTTTAGATGTGTTGTCCTGTGAAAATAAAATAATTCAAAACTGTGTGCAGAGTGGGATTATGTCACATTAAAAACTTCTATGCATGAAAAAGAGACACGAGGACAGGAGTCTGGTTGCAGCTGTTTTGTGGAAGTAGGATAATGGGACCTTTCTAGTATTCTTTTTTTATTTTTAAAGACTTTATTTATTTATTTGACAGAGAAAGATCACAAGTGGCAGAAAGGCAGGCAGAGAGAGAAGCAGGCTCCCTGCTGAGCAAAGAGCCTGATGTGGGGCTTGATCCCAGGACCCTGAGATCATGATCCAAGCTGAAGGCAGTGGCTTAACCCACTGAGCCACCCAGGCGCCCCTTCTAATATTCTTTACACAGATGTATGTATTACTTTCATGATGGAAAGAAAGCTTGTTTTATATATCTTACTTTGTTTAGATAATAAAATGTTATGCACAAAGTAAAGCAGTTGAAGAATAATGACTTAGGAAAAGACCCGTGATATGGAATTGAAAACAACAATGATAGAATACAGAATTCCAGATTATGAGCACAATCTTTTTTCAAGTAAGAAATGCACACATATGGTAACACTGGGTTGTTACTGATTATTTTTATTTTTAAGAGAATTGTTTAAGTTTTAATTTTCTATTTTCTCTATTTTCGGGTTACAGTTAGTTTTACTTTCCATGCGGTAGTCAGTCGGGAGGGGGGTGGTATTTGTAGAGGGCCGTGACCCGGCCTCCAATCCATACACTCAAGGCCCTGTTCTCTGTTAGGATCCTCTAAGACTTGATTCCCAGGTTCCCTATAAGAGCCGCATCCCCCACATTTTAGTTCAAGTTTCCTGAGGAGTTGAGCAGCCTTACAGGTGCAGCGTTGGCCCCAGTGGGAATTGCGGAGGTCATTTAAGAGCAGTGAGCATTGGGGGTCCAGTGACAATGAACATAGGTGACAATGAAGATATTACATATCTTTACTACCGAGTACTTGAAATGCAGTTGCGCGGGGGGGGGGTGGGCGGCGTGATGGACAGCGGTGGCGACCTGGGTGGCTCAGTCTGTTAAGTGTCTGCCTTCAGTTCAGGTCATGACCCCTGCTCCTGGGATGGAGTTGGGCTCCCTGCTTTGTGGGGATTCAGGTTCCCCCTCTCCGTGTGCCCCTCCCCGCCCATGCTCTAGCCAGTGCACTCCCTCTCTCTCAAATAAATAAATAAAATCTTAAAAAAAAAAAAAGAAAGAAAGAAAGAAATGCAGCTACTGTGGCTAAGAAAGTGGGTTCTAAATTTTGTTTCATTGTAGCTGAAACCTACACAGCCATGCATGGCCAGTGGCTGCTGTGCTGGGCAGTGAAGATCTAGAATGTTTTCCTTTAGGTTCAGAAGAAGGCTTGGCTTGGGGCGCCTGGGTGGCTCAGTGGGTTAAGCCTCTGCCTTCCGCTCAGGTCATGATCTCAGGGTCCTGGAATCCCTGGGATGGAGCCCCTCATCGGGCTCTCTGCTCAGCGGGGAGCCTGCTTCCCTTCCTCTCTCTCTGCCTGCCTGTCTTCCTACTTGTGATCTCTGTCTGTCAAATAAATAAATAAAATCTTTTAAAAAAAGAAGAAGAAGAAGGGTTGGCTTGAATCACAGTAGACCTTTGTCCCAGGGTTGGTCTATCACTGTCTAGGCATTTGGCCTCTAAGAGGGTCCAGACTTTGTGTTTCAGATCGGAATTTTGTTTGACATGGAAAGACTAGTCCGAAGGAGTGGGTAATAGAGGGCAATTTTTTTGGCAGCAACCAAGAGGGTCCCTCCCGTGACATACGTTGGCAGTCATTTTCATAGCTAAGAAATAAGTCTGGCCAGGTCAGGCCTGGGCTCTGTTTTGCAATCCCAGCTTACACTGAACCAGCCACATGACCCTTGGGCAAGTCACTTGTGCAGGCTGAGCCTCAGTTTCTCCACTTATAAAACAATAAGAGAAGCTAGCCCGGAGGCTGACGGTGGGTTCCCTGCCACAACTGTCCTGAAACACAGTCTTTGTCTCTGGACTTCTAGGGCTGTATGAACTGCACCTCACCACTGATGGCCCTGCCACCACGGGGGCAGAGGTGACGATCACAGCTAGCCTGGTGGCCAGAGACAATGGCAGTCTGGTCCTGCCCACCAACACCCGCCTCTACCACTTCCACTGGATCCATACCCCGCTGCTGCTCACAGGGAAGACCGATGAGGCTTTCAGCTCCACCATCCGTGCCGTGGGGACCGTGCCTGGGGACTTCCCGGTTTCCGTCTGGGTCACCGCTGCCAACTGCTGGACATGCCCGCCTGTGGCCAGGAGCCTCCTCGTCCTCCCCATCACAGGTGAGGAACTTTTCTGTTTGCTAATTGGCCTTCAAACTCTTGCTGCAGAAAAAAACCATCCAGTCTGGTTAGTAATGGTATGAACAGGAATCGGACTCATGGTCTCTTCTCCATTATCTGTGTTGGAATGGACACTTAAAGCACATGTTGCTACTGGGGCTATAAATTAACACAACCCTTTGGAGAGCAGCTGATCGATACTTTTCAATGGTTATGCACTATTTCAGTCTCTGGTCTGTTCATTCTCGTCCCTCCAGCTTCCCACCCTAACACTCCTCTCTCCTTCCAGGAAGTCCCTGCTCTCTGAGTTTACAATCTGTCAAAGAATTTGTCTTCAGGAAGTACATTTCCATTTGGATAATGTTTTATGCACAAATATGTTCATTGAAGTGGTGTTTATAACAACAGAAGAAAATATTAGCCAAGCTTAGTTTGCAACCATAAAGGGACTGGTTAAGTATGTGGATATAATTTGTATAATGAATAACAATGACATTTACAAAGACTTTGTAATGTCCTGAGGGAATATTCCTGCTTATAAAATTTTAAAAAGCAAAACACAGACTTCTATAACCAATTTGCTTAACTGTGTTTAACATATATATGTATATGTAATGTGCATCTTTATTAAATATGTACACACAAATGCTTTGCAGCTCTTCAAAACATCAACAAAAGTTGTGTTTGAATGACTCGTGGTTTCTTTTCATCCTACATTTCAGCATTTTTCCAAATGAGCTTTATTGAGCACACCTTACTTTCTGCATTTGGGGTGAAAAAAAATCAGCTCCTAATTTTTATTTATTTATTTATTTATTGGGGGGTAGAAAAGAAGACACAGAACAGCGATCCTTACCCAGTCCAGCACATTGGGAGTACAGCTGTGATCAGTAGAAGTGCTAATTTTTTTTCTAGACACATCTAATAATCTGAAATCTCTCTTGAGAATTTATTTCAAAGCCTATGCCTTTTCTCCTGGTCCTGGGCATCTTTTATGCCAGAAAGTTCGGGATCCTGATGAAAGTGCCGTTTGAGCAAGGCAGTGCGTGTGGCGTGTGCTGTGAGTCTTAACCAGTGTCCCAGGGTCCCAAGCAGCAGGGCAAAGATGTGGGGGCTGTGTGTCTCTATGTTCAGTGACCTGCAGGGTCCCTCCTGCCTCCACTCAGCTCTGACAGCCAGAAGGTCCCGGTGGGGACAGGTTGTCCTGCCAGCTGGCCTCTGACATCACTCCTTGGCCCCGCCTTCCCGCCCCCTTGGGGGACTCACCTGCTTATGATCTCTCTCCCAGAGCTCCTTGTGGGTAACCTCGTTGTCACCCAGAACACCTCCCTGCCCTGGCCCAGCTCTTACCTCACCAAGACAGTCCTTAAAGTTTCCTTCCTTCTCCATGACCCGAGCAACTTCTTCAAGACGGCCTCATTTCTCTACAACTGGGACTTCGGAGATGGGTATGTGCTTCCCCACTGATGCCCCAAAGCTTTGGCCTGCGGTTGGTGGCCCCACAGTCCCACGCAAAGTGCTCTGTACTTTCCCACCCTTACCTCCTCACTCCTTCTCACTCCAAACCTTCCTTCCACACCTGCTCTGTGTCAAGCATGGGGTGGGTAGCGACCAGCGTGAGCCAGTCACAAGACCTGCCTCCGAGGTGCCTACAACCTGGTAGAGGAGGTCACTGGTGCCCCAGACATCCCTTTAAGAAAGGTCAAAGTAGGGTTTTTCTCCATTTGACTCTGGAAGGACCTATTTGGCTGATGGAACCTGCAATCATACACATGTGGCAGAACTCGGGTGTTCTGGCTTCATTTCTCCAGACTTCTCCTCTCCGAACAAGTCTGGCTGGAGGAGACAGGTCAGGGAGTAGGGCTCAGGGACGGAGCCCAGGCAGCCCACAGACACTCTGATCTCCTCTGAGGGTAGTGCTCTGCTGAGACCCTTCAGTCCATTTCGGTCTCCTCGAGTCCCTGGCTGATGGCCCTTCCTACTGTATCCCATATATTTCCACCTTCCATTGGTGGAAACCAACTTCCACCAGCCAACTTCTGTTGGCGTCCTTAAGACATTTCTCAGGTTTGCAGAGAAACACAGACCAATCTTTCAAGTTCATCGGAGGCTTAGTAATCCTTCTTGTGCATCACTCCGCACCCCCATGGGACTTACAGGTCAATATGCTTTCTTTCTTTCTTTTTTTTTTTTTAAAGATTTTATTTATTTTATTTGACAGGCAGAGATTACAAGTAGGCAGAGAGGCAGAGGCAGGCAGAGAGAGAGAGGAGGAAGCAGGATCCCCGCTGAGCAGAGAGCCCGATACGGGGCTCAATCCCAGGACCCTGGGATCATGACCAGAGCCTAAGGCAGAGGCTTTAACCCAGTGAGCCACCCAGGTGCCCCTCAACATGCTTTCTTACATACAGTAATAAGTTAGAAAACAAAGTGGGGACTCCTAATTATAGCAAAAATAGTACATAAACATAGGATCACACTTACTGGAAATGGACAAGACCCTGTGTGAAGAAAACTGGAGCTACTAAGACTTATCAAAGATTTTTTAAAAGATTTTATTTATTTATTTGAGAGAGAGGGGGGAGACCCCAGAGTGCAAGTAAGAGGGAGAAGCAGACTCTGCTGAGCAGAGAGCTGGACGTAACATGTGGTCAGTCCCAGGACCTTGAGCTCATGACCTGAGCTGAAGGCAGACGCTTAACCGACTGAGCCACCCAGGCGCCCCAACTAAGAGGTCTTAACGATTTGAGTAGATGTGTTATGTACACCATGTCCAGGATGGAAACTTAATATTGCAAAGATGTCCTTTTCCCTCTAGTTATCCCATAAGCTTGATGCAAGTCCAATAAATACTCCATTTAGTATAATTGTGGAATGTGACAAAGATTCTACAGTTCATCTAAATTTGGTGTTTAAGTATGCACATATATACACCCATATACGTATGCACGAGTGTATATATACATATAGACATGTGTAAAAATATGTCATTACAAACATACATGTGGTTTCATAACCTAAAGAACATCTGGAACATCTGTCACAAACCAGGGGACAGGCTCTATACTAACTAGGAGCATTTCTTTTCACATTAAATACTTTATTCACTATTTTTACTATAATGGGACATTCTTTGACTAGCCAATGAAACAAGACAAGAAAAAGAAATATAAATACTGTAAGGGAGGAGATAAAAATCATCACACACATAGATGATCTGGGAAACACTAGAGACTCAACTGAAAAATCTTAGAACTAAAAAGAGATTTTCATGATATGGCTGGTTATAAAACAAAGATTCATAGCCTTTCCATATGATGGCAATAGGAAAAAAACTTTTATAATAGTTATAAAACAGGAAAACTAAGAATAAACTTAGCCCAAAATGTTAGGGTTTATGTAAATAAAACTCCAGATTGTACCTAGAACCTTAAAAAAATGAAGAGAGAATGCCTCAATATTGTCAGAAGGAAAAAAGATCAGAAAAGCAGAATGATCAGGGCGCCTGAGTGGCTCAGTGGGTTAAGCCCCTGCCTTTGGCTCAGGTCATGGTCTCAGGGTCCTGGGATCAAGCCCCGCTTGGAGTTCTCTGCTCACCAGGGAGCCTGCTTCCCACTCTCTCTCTGCCTGCCTCTCTGCCCACTTGTGATCTCTCTCTGTCAAAAAAATAAATAAAAGGGGCGCCTGGGTGGCTCAGTGGGTTAAAGCCTCTGCCTTCGGCTCAGGTCATGATCCCAGAGTCCTGGGATTGAGCCCCGCATCGGGCTCTCTGCTCAGCAGGGAGCCTGCTTCCTCCTTCTCTCTCTCTGCCTGCCTCTCTGCCTAATTGTGATCTCTGTCTGTCAAATAAATAAAATCTTTAAAAAAATAAATAAATAAATAAAATCTTAAAAAAAAAAAAGAAAAGCAGAAAGCTGATGAGGGAGGATGGGGAGAAGTAGAAATGCATACATAAATGTATTTTCAAAGCTACAAATAGGGGCACCTGCTGGCTCCATCAGTAGAGCTTGCAACTCTTGATCTCTGGGTTGTGAGTTTGAGCTCCATATTAGGTGTAGAGATTACTTAAAAGTAAAATTTAAAAAAAAAGAAAGTCACAAATAATTTGCAGCAATCAAAGGCTGCTCAACAGAACAGACCAGAAAAAGCAGACACAAACCTGAGTTTATACACACATCTATTATATGCTAACAGTGGTATTTTCTAGCCAGTGAGTAAAGATAGATTATTTAATAAATGGCACTCAGGCAGTTGGTTAACTATTTAGAAGAAAAACAATCTTATCCTCAACAAAAGCAATTCCAGATAGACTGAAAAATCAAATATAATGAACCAGGACTAGATTGAAATGTAAATGATCCCCTGCAATTGGATAATTTGGCAGTGGGGAAAGCATTTCTAAGAATAGAGAAACAGAGGCAGAACCTAGGAAGGAAAAGATAATGCTAGATTTGGCTCATTAGATTTAAAATCTGAGTATGAAAGAAGTAAATCAAACAACAAGGCAAAAGTTAAACTGGGTTAAACTGGGTTTAGAAAATATTCGGGAGATATTTAATGGGCTAAACTTCATATGTAAAGAGCATTGAGAAATCAACAAAGATTTTCTTTATTATTAGACTTCCTTTTGAAATAATTCAGGTAATTGCAGGAAAAAGCATGATATTATATACTTTACATGTCATATTGTAACCTATGATGGAGATATGATTTTGTGTTACAGATGAGAAAAGTAAGATTGAGACTTATACAGATAGGAAATCTAGAACTGAGATTCAAAGCCAAGTATGTCATAACTCCAAAGTATATACTTTTTTCCCTATCAGGATTGTTCTTGTCTCTAATGCAGGGGCTTTTTTAGATTTCTGGTGGAACGGGGCAGAGCACTTCCTGGCAGGTGACAGGCCCTTGTTGCTGGGAGTTCTCCCACCTGTCACTTAAAAGCACAAAGATAACCTGCAGCCACTTCACCCAAGCATGGCTGACCTTGCATCCTGGCTGGCTCTGGGGGGTGCTGCTGTGATGATGTCCGGTTTGCTCACAAGTCATTGGTAGCCGAGCTTGTCACTCCACGGACACCCCTGACTCTAAGAGCCCATGTGAGTCACTTCTGTCATCTCCCTCCTGTCACCTTACAGCACCCAGATGGTGACTAAAGACGCTATGGTCTATTACAACTATTCCATCATTGGAACCTTCACTGTGAAGCTCAAGGTGGTGGCTGAGTGGGAACAGGCAACGCAGAATGCCGGGAAGGGCATCATGCAGAAGACAGGCGACTTCTCTGCCTCGCTGAAGCTGCAGGGTGGGTTTCCGGGGCGTCCGGCCCCCTGGGGAGCCCTGGGCAGCACTCTTTCCGGGATTGGAGCCCATGAAGTTCAGAGTGGCTCCAGCTGGGCACGGGGCGGGGCTGAGCTTGGATGCCTGTCCTCTCTTCGCGTCCCCCAGGCAGCCCTCTGAGCAGTTGGCCACTATCCCCACTTCGGAGGGGGCACTGGAGGCCACGGAGGATGTCACATGGCCAGCAAGGGGCAGAGCTGGATTTGAACCCAGGCCCGCCTGCTCCCAGAGCCTGAGCCTGTGGCCAGACACTGTGCTGTGAGCCAGTGGGTCCACGTGGCTCTTTGCTCTCGGGCCACACTGGTGTCCTGCCAGGGACTGTCCTGTTGGGGCTGCGACAGCCTTGGTCTCCTGAAGAGAGGAGATGCCCCAACCCACCTTTCCCTGATTTTGGCAAGAAGGGGTGCTTGGGCAGCTGCGGCAGCTTTCTGAGCTGTGCTGCAGTGGGTGTGAATGGGGTGCTGTTTTCCCCGCATTGCACAGGTGGGGGTGGTGGTGATCCAGAGCTAGCCCTCCATCCTGGTTACCAGAGCCCCGCCAGCTTCCTCCAGCATCGTCACTCTGAGAGCTCCAGCACCTGCTGCTATGGGGGGCGGGGGCAGAGTGGGACTCAGGCATGCCCTGGACAGACCTGCGACCCTCACCTTGGCAGAGACCCTCACAGGGTGGTAGTCACACAGCCCTGGGAGCTCTGAGACCACTGTCCTCAGCAGCCAGGTCTAATGGCGCCGTCTCTGCCTTTCAGAAACCCTTCGAGGCATCCAGGTGTTGGGGCCCACCCTAATCCAGACCTTTCAAAAGATGACAGTGACCTTGAACTTCCTGGGGAGGTGAGTGAACCCCAGAGACGACAGAGAACCCTGCCCACACTCTCTCCCGTGAGTAAGAGTGAGCCTGAGAGCTCCATCCCCTGAGAGGCCCCAAATTTGGAGGCCAGTGGAAGCTTCCACCACCTTGCCCGGCAGCTGTGGGAGAGTTGTGGGCACAGATCCATACTCAAGATCCAGGGGACAGGGCACAGGCCCTTTGGAGCTGTCTGCAGTGTGGGCATCAAGGCAAAGGCAGGCGAGGAACCAGGTGAAAAGCCCTCTGCGTGTGGCTCAGGCCTGCCTCCAGCCCCCAGAAAGCCACCTTGGGTGGGAACCAGCCCAGCTCTTGGCAAGAACAGCATTAAGCTGAGGATGTAGAAGCCAGGCATGTTCTTTGCACAAGGGTGGGTGGAGCCGCAGAGGTCAGTGGTCAGGGCTCAGCCCTCCAGGAACTCTGGCTGGGGAGACCGGCCCCACCTCTCAACTCAGGGCCATGACAGAGGGAAGCAAGGCTTGATGGGGAGCAAACAACACAGCCAAGAAAAGAGAAATATGAGCCATGGGGCTGGGGGAGTTTCTAAAGCTTGTGGGGAGCTTTGCGGGCAGGTGCTTAGGACTTGAGAGTGGAGTGGGAAGCCCGTCGGGCTTGGCAGATCCAATGGCTGAGGTGGCAGGAGTGTGTTTTACTTGGGCCTGGGGTGGCCTGTTCCACATTCCTGAGATGGATCTATGCTTTCCAGCTCCTGAGCCTGGGCTGTGGCAGGTGGATGACCCTCTCAGATCCTATTCAAATGCCACCTCCTCCAGGAAGCCTTCCCTGACTTCCCCATTAAGAATGTGCCCACCTGTCCCCTGTGCCTCCATAGCACACCCTGTGGGTCCCTGGAGCAATCATCCTGCCTCGTCCAGCACTCTGTGCCTATCCCTGTTTGCCTTACTAGCCTGGCACTCCCTTGGGGTCTGGGGTGGGGGGTGTCTTTTATTTACCATTGTGTTCTCTGGGTCTGGAAGGGGTGAAGCAGAGGCCAGGACAGCTAGGTGTTTTGTCCTAAAAAGGACACTGAAGTTCACGGTTGTCTGGCCTTTCTCAGGCTTGGTCTGTGCTCACACTGCTTGCTGAGCCATTGCTGAGAACCCACCCCCATTTCCCTGCAGCCCCCCTCTGACCGTGTGCTGGCGTCTCAAGCCTGAGTGCCTGCCGCTGGAGGAAGGGGAATGCCACCCCGTGTCGGTGGCCAGCACGGCCTACAACTTGACCCACACCTTCAGGGATCCCGGGGACTACTGCTTCAGCATCCGGGCTGAGAACATCATCAGCAAGACACACCAGTACCACAGGATCCAGGTGTGGCCCTCCAGTAAGTGACCTTCCCGGCCACCACCGCCGACATGCGAGCCAGCCCACTAACGTGAGAATCCTCACCAAACCTATGGCCCAACCAACACCGTTGACTCTATGCCCAGACCTCCCCAGCCCACCTGTGCCATCACCGGCCAGCCCAATACCCCTTGGTTCTACCAACACCAGCCCCGTGGGCCATACCAACACCTAACTTGACCACCCAGCTCTGCTGCCATTACCACACACACTCCCGATGGCCCTTCTGGCACCTTCCAGACCCAGGAGACACCACCATCCCCACTCCTCCCACCAGCCCCGCCACTGCCATCTGCACCCAGGCCCTCGATCCCATGCTGCCCAGCAGCCAACAGCTTTAACTCTCGCTCGCTGCCACTGTCACGGTCCCTGGTGTCCTTCCCATGTATTACCAATGCCACACTGTCCCCATCATAAGCACTCCCCCGCGATCACAAGCCTCCCTCCTCCGCCGTCACCTTGATCCTGGCACTGCTGTCACCACTAAAACCAGCCCCCAGGGAGTGGGTGCCGCTCAGCAGTGAAGTGGGGTCCCTGTCATCTGTCAGGACCCCTGGCCACCTCCCCTGGAATGTCCTTCCCCGAGTCTCTGTCAGGCCCGGCCCCTGGCTAGTCACAGGATTAGCTGATGATGGCTGAAGTTCTACCCTTCTTTTCCAGGGGTGGGAGCTCTTCTGTGACCCCAGAAAAGTACTTCCTTCCATAGAGGAGAAAGTGGAATCCCAGAACCCTAAGGGATGGTGTTTCAGGGGCCCAGCCAAGTCACAGCCCTTAGGGTACACACGGCAACCTCGCCAGGTGCCTTCGTCCCCCAGGTTGGACCCACAAGTGCACCACTGTCCCCTCCGGTCTCCCCAGTCCCTGTCTGAGCCACTGGGCAGACGCCGTGCTCCATTTTGAGCCCTGGCTGGCCTTGTGGACCTCCCTGGGAGTCTGGGGTCTTGCCTCCCCCAGCCCCTCCTGGGCGTTGAGTGCCCCGGGGTCCCCCGAATCCTGCAGAGGAGACAGCTTTCCAGCTCATCTGCGCTGCCTTTTCCTGGGAAGCAGAGCCTCCTGGCACACTGTGGCATCTACACCAGGGGTAGGGTGGAGAAGGGAGGAAGGGGGAGGGGGACCGCATTTGCCGATCACCTGCCATTCCCCTGGCACACTCACACCCCTCCCCTCGTGGCATCCCTGAGGCAGCCTCATGGGTCAGCATTAGCATCGGGGAGTTTGGTCAGAGCCGGGATTCGAACCCAGGACCACCTTACTGCAGACCCTGGGTTCTCCCTGTTTCCCCATGTACCTTCCTGACTCAGGGGGTCAAGGGGTGGAGCCTAGAGCTGGCGGAGGGCAGACAGCCACAGCAGGTCACAAGGCTCCGGTGTGTCCTCACAACAGCCTTCCCGTCTCCAAGGCAAGTCGCCTGAGTGAGGGTGGGGGGGCGATTGTGACTCTTGGATGGCCTGGTCATGGCTCCCATCCTGTGCTATTCATGAGGGCAAGTCATTAAGTCTGGCCCACTCTCAGGGGGTGGGGGACTTAGCTGCCCCTCTTGAAAGTGACCATCCAGTAACATGTGGACATATTTTAAAACCCTAACGCACCCCTCCTTGGTTTTTGTAGACTCCTAGATTGGCCCACTGGGGATTGGCCTAGTTGGGATCCACGTGCCTAAGTTAAAAATAGCTCTTGTGGGGTTTGACTGGCCTTCCCCACCAACTCCCCAGACCCATGACTTCACCGTGTCTCACTCCCAGGCATCCAGCCGGCCGTCTTTGCCTTCCCGTGCGCCACGCTGATCACCATGATGCTTGCCTTCATCATGTACATGACCCTACGGAATGCCACTCACCAGAAGGACATGGTAGAGGTGGGTGCTCACGAGGGTGGGGGGTGGACCATTGGGCCCTGACCAGAGAAGGGGGTGTGGACGTCACAGCGAGGTCCTAGGGCTGGGCACGATGTGCCCAAGAGAGTCGTAGACCACGCTGAGTTGGGCCCTTCCCATCAGACTGACCGCTGTGCTCAGCCCTTGCCAGCAGCTGGGCCCTGGGGAGGGCCACTGGAGGAGGGAGGTGCCAGGAGCAGAAAAGCCAAGGGCACGGGGCAGCACTGCAAGCCTCCAGGCAGCTGAGCTCGTAAGGCCCAGGTCAGAGAACTGGCAGGCGGGTGATTGACCCGTGGGGTTTTGTTCACCATAGGTGGCTGATTTTGACTTTTCCCCCATGTCTGACAAGAACCCGGAGCCTCCCGCTGGGGTCCGCTGCTGCTGCCAGATGTGCTGCGGGCCCTTCTTGCTGGAGACTCCCTCGGAGTACCTGGAAGTTGTCCGCGAGAACCACGGGCTGCTGCCGCCCCTCTACAAATCCGTCAAAACGTACACCGTGTGAGCGCCCCCCCGGTCCCGTCGTGGCATTAACTACTGCCAGCGGGGCTCTGCGGACAGGGCCGTGCGCGCAGCAGAGCAGGCGGGGCTCCAGATGCGGGGCTGTCCTCCCTGCTGGCCATCCATCTGTGTCTCCAGCTGCCACCATGAGCCTCCCGCAGCCCCACACCCCTGCCATCCGTCCATCTGTACAGTCCGGCCTCTGCTGTGAGCCCCTCTCAGTCTGCCCTTCCCGACCCCTTGCCTTTGAAGAGCCCCAAGTGGGGCCCCGACGCTCAGTGGGGTCCCTCCCCTCTCCCAAGGGTGCCTGGCTGCCCCTCACCATTCCTCCCCCCGTGTTGGCCCTTCTGCTGTCCGTCTGGGGTCTGAGCTTCTTCCCCGGGGTGGCCCTGCCCAGGTCAGAGAACTGGCAGGAAGGTCACCAAGGGTTGAGGCTACAACACAAAAGGTTATACACACAGAAACAAGCGCATGCGTGCGCACACTCACACACACACACAGATACACACGTCACACATGTCACACAGGCATCTCCGACCGTGGTGTCCTCTGTATCAGTGATGTTGGTTGCTGTGTCCTGAATTAGGACCAAAATGACATCGGACTTTCTGCACTTGGCCACGCGCAGCTTCTGGGCCCGGCCCTTCCCTTCGTGCACTGGTCCCTGTGGCTTCTGGGGCCCACTCTAAGGACACCCCGTTTCCTGCCTGCTTGCTGGGGGTGGGATGTGGGCGGGGCTAACGCTTCGTGAGTGCGGAGGGCTTTATAAACAGCACCTTCTGTTCCTGAGTCTGTTAACTTCCATGAAGGGAAAAGAGAAGCCAGCCAGCAGGGACATGGGTTCACTGTGGGGGATGGTGTCCTTGGCCCTCTGCATGGCCTGGGGGAGGAGGAGGCAGGTCTGGAGGGATCCCTTGGGGGAGCCTAGAGCTGGGGGAGACAGCGGATCCAGGTGCCTGCGGAGAGAGAACACAGTGTGCCCCCTCCCCACCCCGCCTGGCATAGCTGTGCAGGAGCCTGGGGAGCCAAGTTGGGGGCCTGTTGAGACGGGAGGGGGCAGGGCCGTGGGGGCGAAGCTCTGTTGCCGTAATCTTTGCTCTCGGACTTTGTGCAGACAAGAGCATTCCCGCTGTCGTGCCGCTCATTCTCATGAAACACTGCCATTAGTGCTGAATAAAGCTTGTGTGCTCTCAGAATAGCCGAGCAGATGCCAGGGGGCCCGGAGTCTCTTTCTTTTCTGGGCATGGGGCTTGGGGCTTTGGGCCTTGCACAACCAGCGCCCCTGCTGTGTTGTCAGGCAAGCATGGATGGAGCTGCTGTCTGGGGCGTTGGGTCGGTCGTTGGGACCAGCACTCCTTAAACCTCTGCTCAGGCTGCATGGCCGACTGACCAGACTTAGAGACAGGGGGGAGGGTTGTCTCTTGGAGGTGGGTCCAGGTCCCCTCACCCCATGACTCCAACCCGCAGCCAAGCCTGCAGCTTTGGCGAAGGATCAGAGCCCAGAGGACCACTACACTTAGTGAACTTAGAAATGTGGATCCTGCCGCCCTGCCCACACCCAAATCCACACCTGCTGAGGGGGCAGCCACCCCGGTCCCCTCCCCACAGGCCAGCAGGAATGCTGGTGCACCATCAAGGGTGGGCACCTCTGGTCGCACTTGAACTTGGATGTGCCTGGGTGGCACCAGAGGTCTCGCCACACCCCATACTTTCATTCAGGACGTCGGGAGTGGGGCCTGGGAATCTGGGTTTCTAACAAGATCCCAGATGCATCGGATGGGCCAGGTCTGAGGACGGCATTTACAGTTGCCCTCCTTTTGAGTCGCCTTCCATCCTAAGCTCCCTTTCTTCCATAAGAGATCTGGAGTTTTTTCTAAATTGCCTGTGCTCTCCTGCCATCCTCACGACCCAACCCAGCAAGCCAGTGTGCTCAATCCTCAAGCTGGAACATGGGTGGACGGGAACCCCACCCCCATCCTAGCCATACCCCTCTGGGAAGCCCCACTTTTCCATGAGCCAAGTTAGTTGGGGAAGTTTCTCAGACTTCAGCACCAGCATGGGGGGCAAATGCTGCCACACACACCTTTCCACTGACCTCCCCCAAGCCAGGGGTGAGAGTGTCAGGCACCTGTGTGCTACAGGGGACCCTTATGTCTCCTGATAACTGGTTAGAGGATCAAACAAGACCTTGGAAAAGGTGGATGGGGTGGTGGGGAGGGGACTGTCCTTGCCGTGAATCATTTTACTGTGTTCCTAATAGATGAGGGCGACACGTGGTTTCGAGCCACTCCCAGCTGGCATAGGACACGGCTCCCCATCTCTGCACGTGCCTTTGAGAGAACCTGGGATTCGAACATCTAACCCCCTCCCTGACCCTGCCGGGGAATTTAGAAGTGATTGTTCATGTTACAAAAGGAGATCTAGCTCTAAAAACCGCGGTACTCAGGTGTTTCTCTTACAGAAGTTAAAACAATTAAGAAACCAAATTGTTAACCACTGTAAAAGAGCTGGAAAGAATTACTGGAAGGGAAATGCAGAAAATGACAACCACAACAATAAGAGACAGCTTCACTTTGCCAATGGAAGACTCATACAACTGTAGTTCAATCTAGTAGGAAAACATCTGACCCGCAAAATTTGGGAGTACGCGGGCTGTCGAGGACAGCGGCTGGGTTGAGCCGCAGAGCTCTGAGCACTGACCCTGAGCAAGGCAGGTCTTCGAGGTGCTCCCACATTGCTATGCTGTCTCAGCTGGGGGTGGCGGGGATACAGGTGACTGCAGCCCAGGTGGGGGGACTTGTGGGGAGCTAACTGTATACTCACCCACCAGCCCCTGGTGTCTTCATGAGTGGTGTCACAATTCTATACTAGCCCTCCCCACACACATATCCCCCCGTCCCTGCAGCCCCTACTGGCAAGAGGGGCTGGGGCAGCTATTCTCACAGCCTGCCCTTCTAGAAGGGACCCAAATAACGCCGATGAGAGGCTGTGAGTTCCTATGACCACAAGGAGTCAAGGGTAGAATCAGTTGAATGTATTCTTGCCGGAACTTGGGAAGAGCTCTTTTTCCCTTTGAGAAGCCTGGTCCAGTTACCTTGGACAGAGTGGGGGGTTTTTTGGAAGGATTCTGAGCAGTTGATCCTGATGGGATTAAAGTGGGTTTCCAGGGGTGCCTGGGTGGTTCAGTGGGTTGAGCCTCTGCCTTCAGCTCAGGTAATGATCCCAGGGTCCTGGGATCGAGCCCCGCATCAGGCTCTCTGCTCTGCGGAGAGCCTGCTTCCTCCTCTCTCTGCCTGCCTCTCTGCCTACTTGTGATCTCTCTCTCTCTGCCAAATAAATAAATAAAATCTTTAAAAAAAATAAAGTGGGTTTCCAAGGAAATGTAGATGAACACACTGGTACTGAGTTGAATAGTGACTGCCCCCAAATTCACGTCCACCCACACCCATGAACTGATATGGAAATAGGGTCTTTGCAGATGTAGTCAAATTAAGATGAGATCTTACTGGAATGAGGGGTACCCTAAACCCAATGGCTGGCGTCCTTATAAAAAGAGAAGAGACGCAGACAGATACACAGGGAAGATGGTCATGCGGTGGGGGGCAGGGACAGGGTGATGAGAGCACCAAGGGTCACTGGTGCCACCAGAAGCTGGGAGGCACAGAACGGATTCACCCAGGTTAGCCTGCATGGGCCACCATACCAAAGCCCCACGGCTAGGGGACTTCAACAGACATTTATTTTCTCATAGTCCTAGAGGCTGGAATTCAGAGATCAAGGTGTGGTGTCTCCCAGGGGCCCTCTCCTTGGCCTGATGGCTGTCCCCCGTCTCCCTTTCCTCTGAGCATGTCTGTGTCCTAATCTCTTCTTTGAAGGACACAGATTTGATCAGAACCCACCCAATGACCTCTTTAAAGATCCCATTTCCAGATGCCTGGGTGGCTCAGTTGGTTAAGCATCAGTCTTTGGCTCAGGTCATGATCCCAGGGTCCTGGGATTGAGCCCTGTATTGGGCTCCTTGCTCAGCAGGGAGCCTACTTCTCCCTCTGCCTGCCACTCCCCCTGCCAGTGCTTTCACTCTCTCTAATAAATAAATAAATAAATAAATAAATATATATATATTTTAAAAAGGGCTCCATTTCCAAAGAGGGTCACGTAATGAGGTGCTGCAGGTCAACATAAGAAATCTGGATGGACACAGTTCAACCCACCACACCTTGATTTCAGACTTCTAGTCTCCAGAACTGGGAGAAAATAGATTTCTGTCATTCGAAGCCACCAGTTTGTGGTGTTTGCTTCTACAGCCACAGGAAATGAATGTACTTCCGTGTCCCTGTGGCAGTTGGGCTCACACTCTGCATCCACCCAACCAGCCAGCAGGTCTAGCATCTGACCACTTCTCCCCACCCTGGAGCCTTCGCCACTCCACTGTCTCCTCCTCACCCTGCCCCACATGTGTGCACCAGGACCATGTCCTCTTCCATGCAAACCCCTTGATGTCTCCCAGCTCAGAGCCCTTCCAGTGGCCCCAAAGCTGGCATGACCTGGCCCCTTTAACCTCACTGTCCTCATTCCCTGCGGCTCATCCCTCCAAATCTGCCTTCCTCGGGCTTTGCTTCCGCTGTTCCCCCTGCCACACTCTTCCCTACACACAAACCCCGCTGCCCACACAGACACACTCTGCTTCCCCCTCTGCTTCTTTACTCTCAAGTGCCACCTGCTCAGTGAGACAATTACAACACCCACTGCCTCCTGTACTTTGTATCCCCCACCCACAATAGCAATGATCACCCTAGAGTATACTATTAATTTCACTAATTTACTGCTTTTACCTGCCTTCTCCCATAGAATAAAAACTCCAGGAACTCCAAGAAGGAAGAGGCTTTGACTACTGTGTTCACTATTTACAGTTCTAGCACCTAGGACAGTGCCCAGCACATAGTAGGAGCTCATTAAATATCATCCAGGAAGGGAGGGGGGAAATACCACTTCCCCCATTTATGGCTTCACAATGTCTGGAGTTTAGGAAAGAGAAGATCCTAAGGAAAGGACTCAGTGTCTCCCCAGATTGTCCAGAAGGACAAAAGTGGCCTGGAAAGTCCTGATTCGGGCAAAGGAGTGATGTCCAGGGGACAGGATGCGGAGGCCTCCCTGCCCGGATCCTGGAGGGAGAGACCATTCTCTGGGGGGGGGGGTTCCTTC